GAAATGCTACATTCTACAGTACTGACTGCAAAATCAATTTGTAAACACAGTTTGCATCCAGTCTTTGAAAAACTGTAGGACAAAAAAAATATAAAAGAATGATATAAAAATCCCTGTGAAATATCCTATTTATGTACAAAGCAATATACAGGCACCTGACAATCCAGGTTGTGTGATGCTGCCTATAATGGTTTCCCTTCATGTAATGCTGTGTGCCACAGAGCATCATTAATAACAATTTAAGGACTCCCAAATTTTGGTGATTCATACTAGAGGGATTGGACACTCTGGCATTGATTGGCATCAGCTCCACAGCAGATGCAGTTGGATGTGAAAGGGGATCAAATCTGAGTGAAATGAGAAATCTCGCAAGTCTTTTTGCCTCCCCAAATCCTGCACTTACTTAGCCTGTTGGTTATCTCCATCCTGAACCAGTAGAGACTGAACTAGTAGTTCAGTGGCTCAATCACGTGTTCTCGTTTTTTCAGTGTTTGAAGCCTGGGTTTTCCATAAAACTCATAATTGCAAGTGCAGAAACACCTTCTCCATTAAGATTTGTGTCAATCCCATATTGAAGTCACCAGATCTCACCCAGGCAGGTGAAAATGTCTCTGGAAAGGTGGGCACATGCAAGGGATGTTTCCTCAGAGCCTTGTGCCAGGGAGCTTGCTCAAACAAGATGTAAAAGAATTATCATCACCTGGGCATCAGCAGTGGTTTGACTCATTCATAGCAGCAGATTTCAATTTAACTTCCAACATGATCAGGAGGAAAAAATGAGGGAGACACCCATTGTACAGACAGTACTCAGTCTGGGGGACCACAGAGAGGCAAGCCCTAGTGCCTATGTGGGGAGAAAAGTCATCAATATGATTGGAGGGAAGAAAATAACTCATCTTCCCAAGAGTGCAGGAAAAGGAGTTTCTACATAGTCATATATGGTGAATTATTGCCAAGGCGAATTGTCCAAGTGGACTATACACCTATCATAATAACTACTATGAAAAATACCTTAATCGTGGCCTTAGAAGTAACAGTAAAAAAATCAAGGATAGTCCTCTGGCTCATAACAGGATAATATTACAGTACAGTTTTATAAAGTGCCCTTCCTTATCCTTCTGTAAATTAATTCAAATGCATCAATAAAAACAGATAATGGAACTTCATGAAATGAGAGATAGTTACATCTTTATATTTCCACAAAAGGATTTTTTTGAGCCCAGTACTAAAGATAAAGCCGATTGCAGAAGTGTATGTCAGAGGTGAGGTTTAATACTGCCTATGGTTTGGGGGATTTGTGCGATTGCTGCTGTGTTGCCACAACAGGGCTGCAACAACACAAGCAAAAGCAAGGAAACAAGAAAATCCAGGCAGTTGTCAGAATAAATCTGTTCAAACACTGTCACTGCAGTTTCTCGACAAGCAGTCTGCTCTTCTGAGTATCTATTGCTGGGAGACTTGAGTCTAGGAGTGATGGAAAACAAATCAGAAATCTACACTATATTCTTTAAAGTGGCACAAAGTTTGGAATTCCATGTGCTTTGAGAAAGAAACGGAGATCCACTGTATCTCCAGGAAGAAATGCAAAAACCCTTTATTTTTGTGCTGAGTTTTAAACTCATTGCTGGACTTGTAGCATAGAAACAATTAGACAAAAAAGCAGCATCTTGACAGAAATCTTTTGGATGTGATAATCAACGTGATTATAAATAGCAGACAAAGACTATTCCCTGGGATGGGATTGTGAAATGTCTTATAACTTAACGGAGCCAGGAAGTGACTTGACCTTTCCTGGAAGCCCATGACTCCCATAGATTTCAGTGGGGTTTTCATGTAGTAAGAGCATTGAAGACACAGGTTTTACTTCAACAAACAGTTTTTCAAAGACATACCGAGTTTCTACGCCAATTCAGACGGAAAGAGCACGTCCCATAATATGGTGCAAATGGCTTATCTTTAACTATTTGAAGCGTCTTCATCTTTCTTACAATGCTGGTGCAGCCTTTGTCTTTTAAGGGAAGCAACGGAGAAATAAATTCACGAACAAAGTGCTCCATCACTTTCATAGTTTCAATGTTCAGTGTGCTTTAGTTTCAGCGGACAGATGCCAACTTAGCTCCAGCAGTAAATGCAGACAGCAAATGCATAAGCATGTACTTAATTAAGCATGCAATTAACTGAGTCTTTGCCTAGTCTAGACTTATCCATATGCCAGTGTGCTGTCAGCAAGCCAAAGGGCAAAGGATATTGCAGTTGCACAGACAACAGGGGAGGGGAGGAAAGGGGGCAGAGCAGCAAACGAGACGAATGTGCGAAGAAATGTATATCTGTTTAGGAACTACACAGAAAACAGGTCACTATCCATCCACTGTGCTTTTCCTTTAACTTTGCCAGCACTGTGAACAAATGCAAAAGGTTTTCCAGATCCAAATTAGTGCATCCACACTCCTAGTGAAGGTAAAAAGAGACTGGCCAGTAACCAGCATGGTCTGCTGGAATGTGAGCCTTGTATTAGCTGACATGGCCAGCCCCTGTGTTATTTTCTGTTTGTTTAGTTAAGTAGCAACCCAGCCCCTTGTGGAATGAGCAAATCAAGAAATGCAAGCCAAGAGTGAGTTACATTTTCCCAGAGAAATGGATAGCTTTTTGATGGTTAAATACAGTGCTGAACCAGAGTAACACTATATTAATCATTCCATCAGGCTAAAAGCAGAAGAGTATACCAAAACCAACATTTCTTATTCTCCCACATCCACATTTAAATAGAGAAATACCATCACAATTATCTTTTGAAACATCCCTGAGTTCCTGTATCTACAGAGTTACTATTTTAAAATCACAGTCTGCTATTCTAGTCCTATCAAAAGACCCAGATTTATTCTCCCTTATGTGGGTGGGGTCTCTCTAATATCGTGACTTCCTCCCCTAGTCTCCATCCAAAGAAGCGTTCTTCAAAGGACAATCTGTCCCAAGTGGATAAGTGTAAGCATGTTCTAAGTCTTTCTTCATATGCAATTTTGTGGAGCTGCCGAGTCACATGTTGCTGGCATTCCTGTTTGTTTCCAACTGCTAAACAGTTTCAAATGACAGCTAAAAGTATATGGGCCAGTTTTCTAAAGCTAGTTGCAAGGCAAGAAATCAGAGTCACTGCTCCTAAGAAACTGCTTCAGTGAAGAGGATGGAAACCCATCTCTTAATGGGAAGCCATGCTGTGAAACCTCTCAAGAATACTGGATATAAACCGGAGTAAACACTGTGTATTATTCTTGAATATAACTATGACTCAAGCCACAGCAAATTTCACTTGATGTGAGCCAGCACCCTCAGAGTAGGTAACATTTTAGAGCACCTACGCACCATCCCAGGCACATTTCTGGCACATAACACAGTGGTAAAAATGTCTTTTAATGCAAATTGTGAGAAGCAGCAGCATCCAGCTCTATAGGTTAACTCTGGATATGCCAATACTAAGGAGTGCAGAAATGAGAAGGCAACCTTCCTACCACTTCTCTGAATATCCTACAATTTTATCCCTCACAAAAAAAAGAGAAAAAGAAAAAGCTTAAGATGCTTCAGGAGGCCCCTGGAAAAGGTCTCCACATCTAATGCATGTTGAAGGCCTAGAGAATTCACAGTGGCTCAATATTTGTGAAATTATATAGGCCATTTTGCTTAGGATTGTACCTCTGCCATGCAGATGAGGACAAAATACAATGGCAAGAAAAATACTTCACAACAACAAGTGCTTAAATGAGGGATACTCTGGAAATGGACTTGATCTTGCACATCATTAATCAATCATATGAGTAGCCTGGGCTGGCTAAGGTCTGTGTGCATTTTTGGGGATACTTATATGAATGCAGATGAGCAAAAGCATATTATGTTTATATTTTAATAGCTTCTACATAGCCAAATACCTCTCTACAGTTAAAGATATTATTCCTGTTTAAACCCATGACAGGTCTGAGCATAGACACTGAATGGCCTATTTCCGTAAACGTTTCAACTGTGTTTTCTACCATTTTTAAGTTCACGCTCATGTTTTGATTCTTTTTGAGAACCTCGAGAGTTTTCCCCAAAACTGCACAAAAACTTGTTCTGTGGGTGGAGCCCCCCAAGGCCACATGGCTCAGCTTTGCTATAGAACATAGTGTAATGGCATTCATCAGTGTCTAAAAATTGCTGAGTATTAACAAGCACCTTTAAAAACATTTCACAGGGTGATTATTGTGACTGTAATTTCTTCTGACCAGATGAATCAGCTATACTATGCTGACAAACACCACCTCGTTAATTCAAATGCCATGTGCTCTAAAAACATTTCTCTGACATTAGAGAGTTACATGAACTGTTACTCTGAAAAAGAGAGAGATGTCTATTCAGTGTACTGGACTAATCCTGAAATTCTGCTTTATTCTTCATTCAGTCCTAACCTTGGCCAAATTCTATTAAACACATATGGAATTTGCCTTAGCAATGAATTCAGGATTTAGCCATTCTCTGAAATACGACATATATTTGAAAGATGGCTTTCAATTCATCCTAGATGTCACTGATGATCACATTCAAAACCTCCCAGTTTCTTAGAGTAATGGATCCAGAATTTGCTTATAGCTCATTATCAAGCACCCAATCATGACATCCATGAGCAGTCTTAGTAGTACCTTACTTGGCTAGTCCTGTCCACATGAGGAATCCCTCTGACATCAGTGGAGTAGGCTGAATAGTAAGGTGCTACCTGCTTTGATTAAAAATGGAATAACTGAGCCCATGGTATTCTGGATTTTGTACATCTGGCATAGATTTAGTAAAGGAACTACTACCCCTCCAATAATACTGCCTTGTATTGTATGATGCATTGTGGTCAAAAGGCAGCACAGCCCCATCATAAAATAAAGGCTGCACCTGCCCTGGGACAGCTGATAAAAAAAACCCATCACGTGCACATACAAATCTAACGTCTTGTCTTGATGCTAAGTATTAGCTATACAGATCTAACAAAATGCCTGTGATACTTTACTGACTTCTATACACTAATCTTGCCCCTGGATCTAGGTTCAGTTTAAAGTACAACTAGACATAAAAATACAGTGCTTGTTGTTATTAAAACAAACAGAAATCTTTATGAAGATTTTCAAAAGATATTTTAGCCATACTGTGCTAAATAGATCAGGTATGCCACAAGAGTCACCAAAACACTTGAAGGCTTATGTGGTGTTATGTTTCTCCTGTATGTGTGACCCTGAGTCCCTATAGTGAACTGTACTGGCACTTTGATCTTCCCATTTTGCAGCATTGACATTCTCCGTGTCTTGAATGAAAGGGGAGGCGGGTGAGAGCACATTGCATTGCATGGAGTGTTCTCCAGCTGCATCATCCAAACAGTAACCCAAGGGAGACAGATGGTTATGGATCATTGCTTGGCAAAGACACTACAATGACCTGATGAGATCTTTCCTAAGTTTCAGTTAAGAAATTAAGTAAGCTGAAACTGTAGATGTTAAATAGAAAAAAAAAAAGAGAAATCTTCTTGGTTCATGGTATCTTTTGTCAGAAGACAGCTTCAGGGCTTATTTAAGATGGAGCTAGAAATCTCTTCCTTCAGTTTTCACGTTTCCAAGGCTCTTCTTCGACAATACTGAAGTCTGCAGATTTGCCATTGGTTGCCAGTGTTACCTGCAAGTAATTATCATCAACAACCGACTTAAAAGCCAAGGCACTTTGACAAGTCATGAGTTTTACATGGAAGATCACGATATTTACAGTAATTACATACACCATGACTTATTAGATATGTAAAATGTATTTATTCAGAATTCACAATACTCCCAAAGAGTGAAACTCCTGTTCATTTATCACACTGACTAGAAAACATTAGTAGTAGGAAAGAAGTTCCACATTTTCTTAGCCTTTGCTGTAAGATTTTGTTTGGTTTTTGGTTTTAGTGTGGTTTTTTTGTTTGTTTTGCTTTTTTTTTTTTTCAATAAATGCTTCAGATTCTACACCTTGCTATCTCCTTTAGTTTTCTCTAGATTATTTCAAAAACAGATCAATTTTTTCCTTTTTTTTTTTTTAAGGTAGAAATCCGTATTTTTTTTCAGTGGAATTTAGCAAAGCAGAATAGCTGATGCAGGGACATGAAAAATACTCAAGGCCAGAATAATCATAGAAACTCACCTATAATTACGTCACCTTTAAAGAAATTCAGGAAAAGATATGTTGTAAAAGCACTGTTCATCATACCATTCTTTCTAACAATGTAATGAAAGATTTTACATGTAGTCAGGCCACAAATTCATAGTAATGCTATGCTTGTCTCACCCAAAATACAGCAAAACATCACTCTTGCTGTGAAGATATCTGCCATTTTTTTTAGGTTTTAAGTATGGTAGAAGACCTATAGTGATCTACCAACTTACAGTATACACTGGCCAATATGTCCCAGAAATGACTATAAATAAATCCATGCTTCAAGAAAGACAGATCCAGCCAAATGGCTTTAAAAATTCTAATAAGCTAAAATGTCAATTTAGTTTTACAAAAGTGATCTAGATCTTTATAACTGTGAAAGAACCTTTCATTTAATTCCAAATGGATGGCTCACTCTTTCCTAACTTACCTTTGTAAGTTAACATCCTCAGCTTCAAATGAAAACTTAAAGACAGAGCTGAAATTCCCCATGCTGGATAAACTGGATGCATGGAAGCATGGGGACACGGAAACATGACGAAATGCACTGATTTTTGAAGCAAAGTCAAGCTTTTCTTAGATAATTGAAAGGGGGGGAGCATGCAAATACAGGAATGAACAGCTTATTCAGAAATGAAAATCACATAGAGTCATGTGAAATATGGTAATAAAAAAATACAAAAATATCGTGCAATAACAACCACTCTACCCCCATATAAACTACTTATTAATAATATACATTGACCATGCAAAATTATAAACTACTAGAGTTATACATGGAATATATTACAGAAAGTAAATAGAAACGGCATGCTAGTAGATTAGCTTTCCCAAATTCCGACCAGAGTTGCAGTAAGCTTTTCAACCCACCAGTGCATTTGACAGGATGAAGAGATGTCTCTTCAGATTTAACAGCTGGCTGTTTTGAAGCACCAAATCCTACACTCTGTTGCATTTGCTCCTTTAACCCTTGGGAGCTGTGACCTCTCCAACATGATCCAAATGCTTTGCAAATGCCAGCATATATTCTACTCATAGCTTATAAAGTAGACCATAACATCACATGCTTTTGGCAGTTTGCAGACAGACACACAGACAAGACTAATGATCTCCTGAAAGTCAGTCTTGTGCCCAATCCAGTAAACCCTGGCTCTTTTCATGAGTTTTAAAGTGCAAAAGATACCACACTCAGAGCAAATCTAAAACAATGAAAAAGGACAAATACCTTCAGGTAATAAATCACTGGTCCTAAATTTTAATTAAAGGGTGTGCTTAGGAGGATGACCTACCACACCATTAATTCAAGTTTTTGAGGTAAGCTACTACCTCAACTGATGGAAATGATGGAAATGAGAAACTGAAGGAGGAAAGAAAGTGCAGCAAGTATTGCATCAACAGGCTACTACTTTCTAGCTTACTTTTATCTCTGTGCAAATCTGAGTGGAAGGAGATAAAATCATCCGTATTCAGTTCCATGAACCTGATTCAGGTAGAATAGCTCAATTTGTATTAAACTCACTGAAGTTAGCATAGTCTATTTCACCAAAAAAGAGTTTTCCAAAAGTTCCAAAAGACATTATCCAAAAAGTGTGTGCATGCATGCTTATTTTAATGAAAAAAATCTTTAATCAAATGAGATCTTTCTTTTCAGTGAGTTTCTTTTTTCCTTCAAATTTTTCTCTTTTATGCCCTTTTCTCTTTTGTGGACATTATTTTTTAAGTTTTTGTATCATGTATTCTCTTTCCATTTCAAAATTCTTTTTCTTCGTTTTATTTTTCTCATGGAAAAAGAGTGGGTGATGAGGAAGGGAGAGCCATATCAGATCAAAATGTTTGTTTTAATTTTAAAAACTAATTTTATTAAAAACTCGGAAGATTCAGGGGAAAAAAATAAGGATAAGATGAAAGGGATTTATGTCCTGAATTCAGTATTAAATTTCCCCATGAATATTCAGGTTTGGCCTGATATTATCTCAAAGTAAGCATTAGGAAAAAATATTCTGAAAAACATTTCCATCCAGGTTGGAGACAGGTCAAAGTGATAGAACAGGAATTACGTTTCCAATACCTATGGTGATCTTCTAATGGACTTAGTGTAGGCATTTATAGTTAGATAACTGGCTCAGTTGTGGCAATTGGAAGATACAAGAGAATCTGTCTGAATAAATGGCTGAGGTAGGTTCACTGGCAAATTCACCATGTCGAAGACAGTGTACAGGACCAGATCAAGGTATTAATAAATAATAGGAAAGAAAAACCCCTATGAAGTCAGAATTTCCACTTTTTTCTACTCTCTTTCTCCCCCTTTTCAAAAACTCTCTTGATTTTAAACTGTCCTGTCCTAATGGTGGGTGCTTTGTAAATTTTAAACCACTAAACTCCCCAACTGTTTTCTCATTCAACTGGTGGGGTTTCTCAAGCTCACTTTCCTCTGATCAAGATGTTATTATTACTACTAGTAATCCATGTTAGTTACAGCAAGGATTAGAGAGAGAATACAACATTTGTGACTTAATGACTCAGGAATGATGATGAAAGCAAAGTGTAAGCATGCTGTAGGAGTGCAGGAGCATTCTGATGCTAAAGTGCATTCAACATGTCCATCTCTGAATAGCATATCATGAAGGCAGTCAGCAAATGCAAACACCTGTATCTGAATTGCAGCTATCCTTCATTTGGGTTGGCAATTAAGTTCTCTGTTGCCATAGAAAATTAAGTAAATGTCCATAGAAGGTGATGCCATATTCTCTGTGTGTTGGCATATTCCATAATACGTTGCATCTTGCCTTTTGATATGTAAACAATGTACATGATTTTTTCCCCTCAAACGATAACTTTTAAGAAGAGTGCAAAAACCATCTTTTAAACTGCTCAAATTCATTCAAAATGTCGAGTTCATGGACCTTGTTGTCACATTGTTATTTGCAGAACGATTTGAAAAATACATGCAGGTTAAAAAAATAAGATAAAGCATGCAGTGCTATATACATGTCTCAATATCCATAAATGTGAAAGGTACCTTGCACTCATCTACTATGACTGAGTTGTGAGCTGCAAAAACACATTGGTTTGAGTTGTTTTCCCTATGATTTTTCATGTCGTCATAGATTGACTGAGTCTTGGTCATTTCAATGTCTTCATGACCTTTATGGTGGGAATCAATGTTGTCAAGTTCTGCCTTGGAAAGGTGGTAGACAATGCCAGCACCAAAAGAATCCCCCACTACATTGACTGACGTTCTCATCCGGTCCCTACAAAAGAAGCAAAAGGCAGAGACTGAATGGCATGAAAGGAAGAAAAAGTAGGGCATGGCAGCCCTGTTCATGTTACAGTTACTGTATTTATTCCAGGAAGTTTAAGGCATCTTTAGAAGAGAAACATGGGAGTTTTTGAAGCCTGTTTTCTCAGGGGACTTTTTCAGATGGAGGATGTGCAAACTCCCATGTCCCAGCTGCTCATACTCATGGATTTTGGCAAAGAACTTGTGCTAGGGACACAGCCAAACTGCAGAGTTGTGCTTGACAAATTTCTCCAGCTTCTGGAGCTGAAGTTTTCAATGTCAGGCTGCCAGGCTCACATCACTGCCCTCGGTTTAATGAGAACTTATCAGAGCACTGAACTTAATGTAGACAAGGGGAAAGGATTTTGGACCCTGAAGACTTCATCAAAGTGTTCTCATTTCTGGGACAGATTAACAAATGGCCTCTCCCTTTATTCTCAGTGAACAAACTACAGGTTAAAAAATGCCTGAAATATCTCCATGAAGCTCAGGCCATCAAAGCTCCTCTCCTGGCACCATCTTTGCAGATGGTCATCTGGTAGTGTGGCACCATGCCCACTCACACTACCATATGCCAGACTTTGGCATATGAGATGACCAAAGTGGCCTACAAAATGATGAGCCTGTGACAAGTAACTAGTCCCCTTTGTTGTAGGAGGATGACAACAGAGGTTCCCAGGCTTCATTACAAAGAGATGTATTTGTTGGCACTTCCTATACAGGATGCCATTGGACAGACACACCATCTTTCTCCTGTCTTCTTTTTAGAGTGTGGCTCAATCTGTCAGCAGTGAACCCATTGCTGTGGATTCTCCCTGATCTCACAATTCTGCCCCAAACCTGCCCCAAATTCTGCAAAAAATGAAGATCCTACGGAGCACTGCAGGACTATGGGCTCCTGCTATCTTTCCTACTGACCATGTATTGCACATATTGAAATCATTTACAATCTAATTTGCCTCTTCATATCTGAACTAAACAAGACTCCTAAAAACCTTCTGACTGAGGTTTCAATTTTGAGCTACTGCAACTACTAAAACTACTCCAACAACTATGTCTAGCTTTTTCAAATAGGTCAGGGAAGTGATTACACTGATTAATTCTCACAAGTATATCCACGAAGACTCATTTACACAAATGGGAGGTTGAACAGTGTGGACATTTGCCAAGTGTCAGAAAACCCAGAATTTAGGACCTCATTTCCCAAGACAGTGACTAATTAGTAAACACCCTTTCTAATATTTTTGGTATTAGATTTGTGTGACATCTCATTTTCCTGTAGAACACCAAGGGAAAAGACCAAAATATATAACACCCAAACTGAAAAACATTAGTTACACATGCCTGTTTATGGCCATACAAGATTTTGAGCCCTTTTTAACATTCTTTAAGTATCTGTAAAACTGCTTTTGCCAGCTGTGGAACTGCATTTCCTTTTAGGTTTCTCCTTTCCCCCTCTACATTATCATGCTTATATGTTTGAAGTTCATGGTATAATATCTTAGTTGAAACAGCTCTTTTATATGTTTTTGTCATCAAAAGAATACCTCGGAGGAAAAAACTCCTCCAATAACTCTCCCCAAAACCAAACAAACCAACAACCCATAGGAGGAAATCATCCTTCTAGTTTGGCTTCACACAGATGAAATGTGTGAACCACTTCTGTTCCATGCCTGTGAAGGATGCTTTAAACCTGGTCAGAGCGGCAGAAGAGGAGAAGATGAATTTTTGAGTGTAATTTTGAGTTAAGACAATCAACACCGGAGCAGGAGAGAGATCAGCGTCCAGGAGCCTCAGCTCTGGGAGACAAGAGCCACCCAGGGAGCCTCAAGTCCTCGACAGGAGCCGGCAGCTCAGCTGACGAGAGCGAGCAGCTGACTCACAGGGGGCGGAGCCTGAAGCAGCGGCACCAGCCCTGAGTGGGTAAAAACCTGCCCCAGGGAGAGCGGCGAGGCAACTTGTGCGGGCAGGCGAGCACTCGTCGTGTGACCAGGGTCCGGTCTGGGAGCTCTGCTCTGGTTGCTCCGGCGGTGGCCAGCGTAGGCACCCAGGCAGAGCCGGTGAGAGGGGAGGCTGCAGTGCAGAGCTCGGGGTGTAGAGAGTGCCTGCACTGGTCTGGTGAGGGGAGGGTGCGCAATGGGCAGGGCTGCACTCGGTGCTCCCTGGTGGAGGTCCTCCTGCAGCAGGGGCTGAGCTGCGGGATGCTGTTAATAGGCTGCGAGATGTCAGGGAAGCTGAGAGGAAGCAGGAATGCTTGCTTCACACCCAAACTGTGCAGGGGCCTCGAGCTTCACCTCTACCTCATGAAGGAAAGAAGGAGGCCGTTAACCTGGGAAGCTGGGAATTAGTGACAAAAAAAAAAAGGCAACAAAAAAAAAGAAGGAAAAGGACAACCAAAAGCGAGGGGCTTCCCCCCAAATCCACTGTCCCCACGCAGAACCGCTTTGCTGTCCTGCAGGGGGCTAATGAGGAAATGCACTCGAGCCAGAAACAGCCGGCTGATGCACTGCTAAAGAAGATCTCTGCTGGTGCTGCTAGGAAAAAGCAGCGGGTCGTAGTAGCAGGGGACTCTACACTGAAAGGGACAGAAGCACTTGTCTGCCGGCCAGACCCCGTCGCAAGGGAGGTGTGTTGCCTACTGGGGGCACGGATCAGGGATGTGGCAGAGAGGCTGCCTGCTCTAGTAAGTCCCACGGGCTATTACCCACTTCTGGTGATACATGTGGGTGCTAGGGATATAGATAGCAGTAGCCTGGGGAACATAAAGAAGGACTACAGAGCCCTGGGGAGGTGGTTAGGGGCTCTGGAGCTCAGGTGGTCTTTTCATCAATTCTCCAGGATACAGGGGAGGACCTAAAAAAAGCTAGGAGGATTGGTCAGGTTAATAAATGGTTAAAAGGGTGGTGTCATAGTCAGGGATTTGGGTGTCCTGAACACAGGACCCAAGCTTGTAGGCCAGGTCTACTGAGGGCTGATGGAGCTGCTCTGAGAGCAGTTTTGGTAGGAGGCTTGCAAGGCTGGTCAAGGAGGCTTTAAACTAGATGTGTTGGGGGAGGGGGGCATCATTCCATCCCAACACACCCAGTCAGTTGCCAGAACCTATAATAAATGCTTGGAGCAATGTAGAGATATCCCAGCCGCTCCAGCCAATGAGCCGGCTTCAGTTGGAGCTCGGCTCAGATGCCTCTATATGAACACCCGCAGTATGGGGAACAAACAGGAGGAATTAGAGATGCGGGCACATCTATGGGGGTATGATATAATAGGGATCACAGAAACATGGTGGGATGGCTCCTATGACTGGAGTGTTGGAATGGAAGGTTTCAGGCTCTTTAGAAAAGACAGGCCTGGCAGGCGGGGAGGGGGAGTTGCCCTTTACGTTAGGGATAGGCTGGAGAGTATGGAACTCTGTCTGGGTTAAAGGGAATATAGCTATGGGAGACATTACTGTGGGCATCTGTTACAGACCGCCTGATCAAGGAGAACCTGTGGATGAAGCACTCCATAGACAGATAGGAAAAGCCTCACACTCGCAGGCCCTTGTCCTCATGGGGGACTTCAACCACTCAGACATCTGTTGGAAGGACAGTACGGCCCGGCACAAGCAATCCAGGAGGTTCCTCGATTGTGTGGAAGACAACTTCCTTCTGCAAGTAATAGAGGAGCCGACAAGGAGAGGTGCCGTGCTTGACCTCGTGCTCACCAACAGGGAAGGGCTCGTTGGAAATGTGACGCTCCAGGGCAGCCTTGGATGCAGCGATCATGAGATGCTCGAATTTGAGATCCTCATGACAGTGAGAAGAGCATGCAGCAAGTTCACTGCCCTGGACTTCAAAAGAGCAGACTTTGGCCTCTTCAGGAACCTGCTTCGGAAGGTTCCATGGGATTCAGCCCTAGAGGGCAGAGGGGCCCAAGACTGTTGGTTGATATTCAAGGATCACCTGCTGCAAGCTCAGGAGTGTTGCATCCCAACCAGAAGGAAGTGCAGCAGGAGGGCCAGGAGACCTCCTTGGATGGATAAGGAGCTACTGAGGAAAATTCAAATGAAAAAAGAGGCTTATAATAAGTGGAAGCAAGGACAGGTGGCATGGGAAGAGTACAGAGATATTGTCCGAGAAGCTAGGGACCAGGTTAGGAAAGCTAAGGCCCAGTTAGAATTAAACTTAGCTAGAGGTATTAAATCAAAAACAGACTAGGGAGAATGTGGGCCCCCTCAGGAAACTCTCGGGAGAACTGACTACACAGGATTTGGAGAAGGCTGAGGTTCTGAATGACTTCTTTGCCTCAGTCTTCACTGCCAAAGGCTCTGACTGCACCACCCAAGTCTTGGAAGGCAGACGCAGGGACTGTGAGAATGAAGACCTTGCGCCCACTGTAGGAGAGGAACTGGTTCGAGAACATCTTAAAAATCTGAACGTGCACAAGTCCATGGGTCCTGATGAGATCCATCCGTGGGTCCTGAAGGAGCTGGTGAATGAAGTTGCTAAGCCACTGTCCGTCATATTTGAGAAATCATGGCAGTCAGGTGAAGTTCCTGACAACTGGAAAAAGGGAAATATAACCCCTATTTTCAAGAAGGGGAAAATGGATGACCCGGGGAATTACAGACCAGTCAGTCTCACCTCTGTGCCTGGCAAAATCTTGGAGCAGATTCTCCTGGAAGGCATGCTAAAGCACATGAAAAACAACAAGGTGCTTGGTGACAGCCAGCATGGCTTCACTAAGGGGAAATCCTGCCTGACCAATTTGGTGGCCTTCTCTGATGGGGCTACAGAACTGATGGACAGGGGTAGAGCAGTTGATGTCATCTACCTGGACTTGTGTAAAGCATCTGACACTGTCCCACACGACATCCTTGTCTCTAAATTGGAGAGACATCAATTTGATGGATGGACCGCTCATTGGATAAAGACCTGGCTGGATGGCTGCACACAGAGAGTTGTGGTCAATGGCTCAATGTCCAGCTGGAGA